GCTGCAGACAGGCGCGCGCCGCCCGCTTCCTCCCGGCTGCGAGGACCCCAGGGCAGCCCCCTCGGACAGGGCTGCCCCCAGGCAAGCAGCAATTTCAGCAGAGCAACAGCACCAGCCACCCCCACCACGCACAGATTCAGGAGACTCCCACCACATGTGGCATCTGCTTCCCTCTCCACACCAAGCCTGTCTCCAAGGAGCAGGGGGAGATTTCCCCGGCTCTGCGTGCCACACGCACGGTGGAAACGCAGCAGTGGGGGAACGGGTCAAAGCCCAGGCAGCTGCTGTCCAGCTGCAAGAAGTTCCGTGAAGAAACAGCCCGGCCAACGTGAAGTTCTGCGGTAACGGAGCCAGGAGGCTGAGCAAAAGCCAGCGTTGGATGGGGCGGGGAGTCAGGACAGGAAGCCTCTGGTACAAACCTGCACTGCCCCGTGGACGCCTCCTCCCACGCTGTCGTAATCCTGCTGTCCAGGTGGATTATTGGAGGTGGAGGTGGCTGACAGCACAGGGAGGGGGTTATAAAATCTCCTTGATAAGCCTCCCGTAGGTGAATCTCCCACGGGAATCCCCAGCCGAACCCCCGGGCAGCACTGGAGGTACAGCTTTCCCTGAGCGACTGCACCCGGCAGACCCCGGAGCGGGGGCAGGGGGCTGCCCCCGGGCACCCAGCCACCGGCACAGCACAAGCTGCAATTTGCTGCCTCAGAAGAAGGCGACATGCTACGAGACGGGATTACATTTCCTTTTAATTGATCAGAGCATTTTCTCCGCCTCCATTTGTCCCGCACCATCTGTACAATCGGGGAAGCCAGGACAAGTAGGACAGTCTGGGGTTTCTCTACATCGACAGTGGGATTCCTGCAACACACAGAAGCGGAGCTGGTTTTACCGTGGGGTGGGCTCGGGCAGAGCGGTGGATTCTGCTCCGAGGGCTCGGCCCTGGCTCAAGCTGTTAAACGGCTGCGAGTAAACAAGAACCACTGGCTCTCTCAGACCTGACCTCATGGGCCAAAGAGCACCGGGACCAGGGATCGGGGAGATAGCCGGGGAGCTGCTGCCCTGCTGTACCTGCTCCGGGGAGGGGCCGTCAGAGGCTTTTGGTGACTCACCTGCCAGGCAGGGCACGCTCGCTGCCGCAGAGTGTCTCTCCCAACTGCCAGCACGTGGGAAGAAGAGGGATGAGGCACAGTCTTAGTAGGGTAGAGGGAAAAGGGGCCACGAGGTAACCAGCCCGGCCTTGCCTCCCCTGAGACAGAAGCTGTTTGTTTTTAGTGGAAGGGAGTGTACAGGGAGCAGAGGCCACATCGCTCTCCCTCCGGGGCCCCAGGCATCCAGCCCGCTCCCGAGCTGCCTGCTGGC